GGTGCGGGGGGGACACGCGCGTGGCGTTGGGGGGGGGTCCCTACGCGCATGCGCGTGCTGTGCCGGGGCTGCGCCCCCCGGTGGGTGTGGACAGGGTCCGGGCAGGGGTCCGGTATCGGTCTCGGTATGGCACGGGCAGGGGTCCGGTGTCGGCACCAGTATCGGTCTCGGTACAGTCCGGGCAGGGGTCCGGTGTCGGTCTCGGTATGGTACGGGCAGGGGTCCGGTGTCGGTATCAGTGTCACTATGGTACAGGCGGAGATCCGGTAGGAGTCTCGGTGTCAGTATGGTCCAGGATCCGGTGCCGGTGTTGGAGTCGGTATGGGTGTCGGTATGGTACGAGAAGGGGGCCGGGGCCGTGGCCGGATCCGGGGCCGGGGCGGGCGCCGGGGCCGGTGTGATACGGGCAGGGAGCCGGTGTGATCCAGGTCCAGCGCTGCGGCTCCCGCGGCCACACGCGGTGCCGGCCCGCGATGCCGCTCCAGCCCCCGGCCCGTCCCCGCTGTGTTGGCCCCCGTTCCCCCCAGGGGCGGGGGAGGCCCAGCTCCCCTCTACCTGCACACGGTACCGGCTGCGGGTCAGAGACGGACGAGGCAGCAGGACCCTCATCATTCCCGAGGGCAGCGGGACCCTCGCCGTCCTCTCAGGGCTGCAGGACTCTCACTGTCCCCCAGGGCAGAGGGCCCTTCACCATCCCCAAAGGTAACAGGAGCCTCGCCATTCTCCCAGGACGGCAAAACCATCACCGCCCCCAAGGGCGGCGGGACCCTGACCGTTCCCCCAGGGCAGCAGGACCCTCACTGTGTCCGAGAGTAGTGGGACCCTCACTGTCCCCCCAGGGCAGGGGGTCCCTCGTCACCCCCCAGTGCACAGGACCCTCGCCGTCCCACCAGCCGTCCTTGCGGGGGCTACAGGAGTGGGGCTCAGGGCCGGGGGGCCAGAAGAGCAGACCCCCATCATGGGGGTCCCGTTATCCGCAAGGCCGGCCATCACTCACCCACCTCCGGCTTTGACTGAGAACCGTGACGTCAGAACCAGAACCGTGACGTCACCCACGGGCCATTCCGCTGCCTGCGTGGGCCCGGGGCCGAGGAGGGAGATGGGCAACGGTGCCGGCCCCGTCATCAGGCACCGTGCGACCCCTCCGTGTGATGTCATATGTTTTTTTAATTATGTCACACGCCTGTTCCGCCCCACCCCTGCCGCAGGCAGCTGCGGGGGGGACTTGGGTGATTCAGGCTGCTGCGGCGCCAGATGTTCGGGAGAAGGTCCAGATGTTCTCGGGACGCCGCCCCTGCAGAAGCGCCGGGGTGGCAAAAAGCGCGGTGTAACCCGGTGGGCTGGAGGGGTTCTGGGGCCGGCTCTGTACCCCCCATTCCCCTAGAGCTCCCAAACGTCCCACACGACCCGGGGAGTGGGTGCGATTCTAATTCCTACCACGCGTGGGTCCCGGCCACCCTCCAGAGCCCCATTCCTACTCGGTACCGTCCTGCAGGGGGGCGTGGGGAGGCCGGGAAGCCCCTTCCCAGTCCCGAACAGCCCCGGCCGCTGTCCGCTCTCCCGGGATGTCCCGGTGCGCAGCGGGCGAGCCGCTCTCACGGGGCCCCCGGGCGGGTTTGATGCTCGAAATGGCAGCACGGAGAGTTCGCTGGCGCCACGGCGGGAGGAGCCGGGTGGAACGCAGGGACCCCGCGGCCCTGCCCCAGCCCCGGTACCGCATCCCCAGCCCTGGCAACTGGCCTCGCATCCCCCGGTTCGTCCCGGGATGGCACCGGCGGTGCGGCAGCGCCCCCTGGCGGCCCCGGGGTAGCCCTGCCCGGTGCTGCCCCTCCGCTCCGGTGGGCGCGGGGGTCGGAGCGGCCGAAGGAGCGCCCCGAGGGCGGGACGGGTACCTCGTGCAGCAGCAAGCCCCCCCCAAGCAACGAGTACCCCTTTTCAGTGCCCCCGCTGCCGTCCTCGGCTCGGTACCGGAGGGCGCAAGCAGAGGCGGGCACAGCCCGGGACCAGCCACGGGCTCGGACCCCAGGACGGGGACCGGGATTCAAACCGCACGGTGAAGGTGCAGCCCGGGACCAACCGCCTGGCCCGGTGCACCCGGGAACGGCGGGGCCACGGAACCGGGGCTGCCCCGGTGCGAGAGCAGCCGCGGGAATGGGTGGGGGGCACCCACGGGGATGGGCGGGGGGCTTGGAAGGGCAGTAAAGAGGGACCTGATTAGCGCAGGAGCAGGGTCAGGAGCGGGTGTCACAGATGGGGCGGGGGGACACGCGTGGGTGCGACCAGTGGGTGGGTGGGGGCTGAATGGGGCAGATGTGCGGTCACGAGTGGGATATGGGGTAAGAGTGCGGTCATGACAGGGGACACGAATGGGGATATACGGAACACGAGTAGGGTCACGAGTGGGTGAGGGCTGATACGGGGCGGACGCGGAGCCGGTGGGTGCCGCAGCCCCTCGGTGGGGCCGTGCGGGGGTCCCGGGTCCTGCCGAGGCTGGTCCCGTTCCCGGTGCCCTCCCATCCCTCCGCTCGCGCGTCTCCTCCCCCTTCCTGCGCTCGGCGCTTCCCGGCGGAGCGGGGCCGCCGTGGGGACCGGACGCGTCCGACGCCTCTATGGAGTGAAGGAGGGCTCGCGGGGACCGGCCGCCCCCCGCCCGCGGCTGCTCTCGCCAGGTAACGGGGGACGGGACCGGGGACTCTGCCGCTGCTTGGCACCTCCCACTCCGGCCAGGAACTCGTGCAGGGGCACCGAGCTGGGAGCCAGGGGGAGCCGAGGCTCTGCGGGGCATCCCAGGGACCGGAGCTGCCCGGGGCTGGGGGGCTGTGGGGCGCACGTGTGATGTGTGACAGGCTGAGCCGGGCCTCTGAGGGGGAGCGGAGCGACTGACAGCACCTCAGTGGGGTGTTTGGGGATGGGGAAGGGACTCCGGGACCGGTGGCGCCGAGGTTGCATAGGCCGCCCAGGTGGGAACGCAGCCACGTTCTGGACCCGGAGTCCAGAGCACCCGCTGCTGGGAGGGTGCAGAGGATGGCACCCAGCTCTCCTGGCACCCCACTCTCCTGGCATGGTGCTGTTTGGGGACGGGGGGTGCGTGGGGGCCAAGGAAGACCCCTTCCCCCGTCCCGCCGGTGGACCCGGACAGCGAATTCCTGGGATGGGAGCGGCACCGAATCCAGCCCGGGCTCCATGAGCCGTGAGTCACTCTGGGCTGGGTCGTCCGGGAAGGCCCCGCTCCCCTTCCTACGCACCAGAACTTTCACTCCCCCAGCGGTCAGCAGTGGGCAGCCCCCCAGAACCCCCCCCAAAACCTGTGTGTCCTCCGCGTGGCACTGTCACAGTGTCCCACAGTGTCCTGTGTTATGGCCCCGGCCGGAGAACTGGCAGCAGTGGCGTCCCCAGCTCCCCGGGGAAACCGAGGCATGCTGAAGGGCAGCGATATCCCTCGGGCTCTTCCCGGCGAGGGCAGAGTCAGAGAGAAGTCCGGGTTTCCACAGCATTTGGAAAACGTCGGAACATGGAGAAAGCCCCGGAGAATCTGCCGGCACAGGGAGCGTGCTCTGAGGTGCCCCGCAGGATGAGGAGGGTGCAGAGGGACCCACCTGAGCCGGGCTGGGAGATCGCAGAGGGCAGCGGGCTGGGGTCCGTCCCCCCGACACAGCCCGCCCCCGAGGGTGGGGGGCTGCGGCTGGCCGCCAGGAAGGGCTGGTGGTTAATGATAACATTAATTTACGGTGGGATTTACGGCACCTCGGGACAGGGAAGGGGACGGGGAATGTACGGCGGCTCCAGCTCAGGGACAAGGTTTCTTTTTGCAGTAAGAGAGCACAAAGTCTATGCTGAGTTTGGGGGTCCCTGAGCCCCCTCCCGTGCTTGGGCTCCTCCTGAGGCACCTTCTCTCACGGGACACCCCACGAGGGTGGAGAAGGAAGCGAAAGTGGCTGCATCGAGGGGTTTGGGGACGGGGAGCGGGTGGGGGGCGGCTGCTCCCCCTCCCCGGGTGCCGTATCCTGCCCCGTGTCGAGCCGGTTTCCACAACGCAGCTGTATCCCTGCGATCTCGGCTTCCCGGCGTGACCTAGAGGAGGGTCCCCATGGGATATTGTCCCCAGGAGGGAACTGGGAAAAGCTCTTCTGCAGAAGAGGAAGAGGTTAAACGTGGAAATTAGGATGGGAAGGATTCAGGGCACAGCTGGGCTGAAGGAACTGCTTTGACCGATGCCAGGAGGGGACATTATGTTCCCCCTCGAGCTCCTCCTGGGCTGTGGGAGGAGAGAGCAGAGCAGCTTGTCCTGCAGACTCTCAGCAGATCCAGGCACGCCTGGCTTAAGGCTTACACTCCAGGCTGGCGCTTCCAGCCAGCAGCTGCCTCCCAGGGCTGAGCAGAAATACAGGTTTAATGGAGCAGGAGGATGGGGATTAACCTCGAGGGTGGCAAAAGGAAAGGCTGTTTTTCCCCTCCTGCCAAAATCCCACTGGGACTGTGGGGAAAAACCCAGCAGCATTCCCAGAATTGCTGTGCGCGTTTCCCACCGGCCACAGATCCCTCCGAGTAACCTCATCCCCTGGGCGGCTCACTGCGGTGAATACCCGGGATCTGTTTGCTCCGGGCAGCGCGGAGTCGAAAGCAAAAGCATTTCTGGAAGGCGTCAGCCTGCAGCCACCACGGTTGGTCCCTCACGGGGATGGCACACGGGGCTCCGTGAGGCCTGGTGACCCCCGAGAGCCGCACCGCCGCCAGCCCGGGGTGCTCCCGCTGCGGTGCTCGGGGCAGGCCGCAGGCGTTTGTTTGCTCCGGCTGCGACGTTGCCCAGTGACGCTGGCTTCCTTCCCCTCGCAGGGTTCTCGGAGTCTCTCAGCTCCACCTCCGCCCTGCGCCTTCGGCGGCTCCGTGCGGCCCAGGCCCGTGGGGACCGCGCTGCCCGCGGGGGCTCGGGCCGTGCCGCGGCTCCGCGCCCGCCCGTTCGCCTGAGGGCCCTGAAGGCGAGGCCTGGGCCGCCCGGGGGTCCCGCCGGTGCACCGGCCCCTCGGCTGGGCCGTGAGACGCCGGGATCCGCCGCGGGATCGGGCCTTGGCTCCGGGCGGGGCCGGCGGAACCGGCAGCGAGGTGTGTCTGCCCGGGGACCCCCCTGGCCGGCCGGGCCCGCGGGGCTGCGGCGGGGCCGGAGGGTGCGAGCGAGGCGGGAGGAAGGGCGGGAGCTGTCGGGAAGAGGCGCGGGCAATGCTGAGGGGACGGGGTGGGAATGTTGGGGTTCCACCGCCCACCTTGGGGTGCGGTGGGGCTGTGAGCCCCCAGCCCGGGCATTCCGGGTGGAATTCCCTATCTAGCACCTCATTCCAGTCCTCTTCTTGCTTTTCCTGATCTCTGGAGTCCACCGAGCGTGAGGGGCGGCCGGGGAAGGGGCCCTTCTTGCGAGGAACACCTGAGGAAGTTCAGCCAAGCCACCTCACTGGGATCACCCCGGTGGAACGAGCTCACCAAGCTCGGGGGAGTTCACACTTGAGGGCTCCACACTCTTCCAGCTCTTCCAGCTCTCCTGTGCCATGTCCAGCAGCTCTTGCCCATCCCTTCGTGTGTCCTTGTGGCAGAAGGAGCAGGGATTCCCCAGAGATACAGGAAACTGAGGCACAAATGGGCTGCCAGCTCATCTGGGATTGCCCAAGAGGCTGATCCTGGATCAAGTTTCCCACTCCTCCTCCCCAGCAGCCCCAGCCCAGTGAAGCAGCAGGTTCAGATGCAGAAGGAGAAGCAGCAACTCTCACCTCCTCCCTGAGGGGCACTCAGCCCTCGACCCCCCCCAGGGCTGGGCTGGGCTGGGGGCTGCTTGAGTGGCCCTGTCCCCATCCCCTCGCCTGTTTGTCCACAGGTGACTGTTCCAAGATGTCCCTCTGGAACCTGGTATCCCACATGCCACCGGAGGAGTTCAGCAGCCTTTCCACAGAGTTTCCCCGGAGTCTGCGCTGTCTCCTGGCCGAGTGGCTGGAGAACCAGCCCTGGTGAGTATCCTGGGACCCTTCCTCCCTGGAGCAGTGCAGGGCTGGGGGTCACACGGGGGAGGATGGGGATCCATGCCCATTCTCCCCACTTTTCCCCGCTCCAGGGAGTTCATCAATGGCTCAGACGCCTTCTGCAGCAGCATGGCCAGCAGGCTGCTCTCGGCCATGCTGGAGAAGCTCCGCAGCGCTGCCGGCAGCGATGGGCAGCAGAGCCAGATCCTGCAGCAAGTCAGCAGCATCGAGGTGTGTAGGGACCCTGGGGCTGGGTCACACTGGGATTGCAGCCAGCTCCTGGGAAAACTTGGTTCTTTTATGCTGGAAGGGCTCGATGCCTTATGATGGTCCCTGTGTGACACCCATTTCCAGGCTTGTGAGCAATGAGCAGACTCAGAGATTGGATTTTTGGGGTGTTCCACAGGACAGAGGGGGTTTGTTTGCATTCCAGGGTTGACCTGGGTTCTGCAGCCCAGTGACTCACAGGAGCTGCTAAATCTTCCCTGAAATGATCCCATGGGGACCCTCCTGAGCCCCTCAGCCCCCAGGGCCCCACTGGCCCCCAGCTGTTGGCACCTGGGGAACATCCGTCTCACCAGATGTTCCCCATTTTCTGCTCAAGTGTTTGTTTGCTCCTTCCTCCATGCTGTGTGGGGCTGCGTTTCCTCCTGGTGTGAGCTTTGGGGTTCATTTTTGGGGCTTTCTCTTATCAAGGCTGTTGGAATTGCTCTGTCCTTTTCCCAACCCTCTGATTTATCCCCTCTGGCCAGCAGAGCTCAGAGTTCCAGGGCTGAGCAGGGCTCACTCCCAGAGCCCCATTCTGGTTGAAAACTCTGCTTATTTGGTAACAGACCTTTTTAATATCCAACATTTGGGAAGGGATCAGCTTTAGTCAAAACTTCTGGGGAGCAGGGTGGCTTTCCAAAACAAGACTGTTGCTTTTTGCTGTAGGAAACAAGCAGATGTTTCAGCTTAGGGATTTTTTATTATTTAAAATGTTGAAGCAGAGCAGCCCTCCTGTGTTCCCTCCTCCCTTCATCCCTCATGCCAGAACACCAAATCTTCATTCCTCCATGCCCAGCCAGGCTGTTTCCTGCTCTTGGTGCTGCTGTGGGCAGTGAGAGCAAGGTGGCCCCCAGGATGGGCAACCACAGGGCTGGGGCTGCAAGTGGGAGCCAAATCTGGGCCTCTCATCCCCTGAATCCCACATTTTCCCTGGAAGAGCCCACGGGGCTACCAGTGCTGCATCCAGACCCCCGCACTGGAGCTCCCACCGGCACAGGAACCCAGCAAGCACGTCATCAGCCATTCCCCCATCGTGTTTCTGCTGCTGTTTTGGGAAGTAGCTAATTTGGGAAATGCGTGAAGGCCGGAGGAGCTGGCACGGGACACAAGAGCTGGAGCCAGCAGGGGAATTCCTCTCCCTGTTTTCAGTGGAAAGCATTGATCCACCCAGGGCAGCTGGGAGAGTCTCCCCCAGGTGTCAGGCTGGAGGCTGGAAGAAATGCTCACAGGAATGGAGAATTCCTTTTGGTTTGGATTTTTTTTTTTTTTTTTCAATTTGAAGTTGATTCTTCTACTTTTTACACAAAAAAATTGAGTTGGAGACAATGATCCTGATGTTCCCTCCAACTCCAGATATTCCATGATCCTTTGCGCCATTTAAAGCGGTTTTAAAGCCGGAAATCAGTTCTGTGGTGGTTGTGGAACCGCTGAATTGCCTTGGCTGGGTGTTGTGGGAAGGGGCTGGGGTGGGAGGGGTCCAGGAACAGGGGGCACATGTCCTGTCCCCCTGACACCCCCCGTTTGTGTCCCCCCAGAACACCTTCCGTCGGGACCCTCTGCGGCTGGTGGCCGTCGTGAGAGCCATCCTGGAGGGTGAGAAGGCGGCCGTGCTCAAACGGGTGGGTGCTCCCTGTCCCCCTCCCGGGCACCCCGAGGTGCAGGACCGGCTGCAGCCCCCGCTGACCCCGCTCTGCCCTGCCCCAGGACCACCACCTGCCCCTCAGCTTCCACCGGCGGCAGGAGGAGCTGAAGTTCAGCCTGGGGCTGCAGCGGCTGCAGCACCGAGTCCATGAGATCCAGGCACTCTGCGACGAGGGGCCAGGGCGGGACGCGGCCGTGCAGGGCACCATGGCCCCCAGGGAACTGCCCACCCTCATCCTGGAGGCTGTGAAGGAGCTGGAGGCAGCCAAACAGCAGGTGCTGAAGAGGATCCAGATCTGGAAGAGACAACAGCAGCTGGCAGGGAACGGGGCCATCTTTGAGGAGAATCTGGCACCGCTGCAGAAGAGGTGAGAGGGGAAAGGGCAGGGCTGGGGGACCCTGAGCAACCTCCTGTGCCCCAAGGGGCTCCAGGTGAGTGAGGGTGGGGTACTGAGGGTCCCCCTTTCCCCAGGTGTGAGAGCCTGGTCAAGGTTTACTTCCAGCTGCAGGAGCAGGTGATGGCAATGAGCAGCGAGCCTGACCTGCTGTCCCGGCTCCTGGAGCGCCTCAACGAGGTGTTGTCCAGCCTGGTCAAGAGGTAACTGGCTGAGGTGGCCAGGGGTTGAGGTGGGTCTGCAGGGGCTGGTGGCAGAGCTGCCAAGTGCCATGGTGTCCCTTTGTCCCTCAGCTCCTTCCTGGTGGAGAAGCAGCCCCCACAGGTGCTGAAGACTCAGACCAAGTTCCAGGCAATCGTGCGGTTCCTGCTGGGCCCGCAGCTGCTGAAGGCAGCGCCCAAGCCCTACGTGGTGAGGGCTGACATGGTGACAGAGAAGCAGGCACGGGAGCTGGAGCTCAGCAACTACAGCAACATCCTCAGGTGAGCAGTGGGTGTGGGGGCAGGGGGGCTTCCCCACCGCTGCTCCCCCCCTGACCCCCTCCTCTGCCCAGTGAGAGCACAGGGGAGATCGTGCACAACACAGTGGCCCTGGAGACCAACCCCACCAGCGGGACCTGCTGCGCCAACTTCAAGAACGTGGTAAGTGCCACCAGTGAGGGGCTGGGCTGGGGGCTGTGCTGGGGGCTCTCTTGGGTTTTTGGGGGTCCCGTGGCTGGGGATGCTCAGCTCTCCCTCCCAGCTGCTGAAGAAGATCAAGCGCTGTGAGCGGAAGGGCTCTGAGTCGGTGACAGAGGAGAAATGCGCCGTCCTGTTCAGCACCAACGTCATCTTGACCCCCAGCAACGTCTCCATCCACCTCCAGGTACCAGCTCCTCTGCCATGGGATGGGGCTGGATGTGCTGAGCCTTCCCCTGTGGGGCACCTGTGCTGCGCTGGGACAGTCCCAGGGTGGCCACCACACTTGGCTCAGGGCCACTCTCTGCCCTTAGGTCCTGTCTCTGCCCATTGTGGTCATCGTCCATGGGAACCAGGACAACAACGCCAAAGCCACCGTGCTGTGGGACAACGCCTTCTCCGACATTGTGAGTGCCACGAGCTGGAGGGAAGGAGCTGGAACCTGGGGTTCACTGGGCTCTGGAGAGGGGAGAACGGTGCACGTGGGAGGAGGAGCCCAGGGCTGGAACAAAGCGGGCATCATGTCCTCATGACCCCCTGCCTGGCCACAGGAGCGGGTGCCCTTCGTGGTGGCCGATCGAGTGCCCTGGGACAAGATGTGTGACACCCTGAACCTGAAGTTCATGGCAGAGGTGCAGACCACCAAGGGGCTCCTCAAGGAGCACTACTTCTTCCTGGCCCAGAAGATCTTCAATGATCACAGCACCAGCCCTGAGGACTTCCAGGGCCGCCAGGTCTCCTGGGCCCAGTTCAACAAGGTGACTGGGAGGGCTGGCCAGGGTGGTCAGGGGCCAGTGTGGCCATGGGGAGCCTCATGGCCTCTCTCTGCCTCAGGAGATCCTCCCTGGCCGGGGCTTCACCTTCTGGCAGTGGTTTGATGGAGTCCTGGACCTCACCAAGAGATGCCTCAAAAGTTACTGGTCAGACAGGTGGGTGCCCTGGAGCTGGGCTTTGGGGGTCCTAATCCCACCCCACTGCCCTGGGTGGTCCTGATCCCACTTCCCCATCTGTGCACCCCTCCAGGCTCATCATGGGCTTCATTAGCAAGCAGTACGTGTGCAAACTGCTGAGCATGGAGCCGGACGGGACCTTCCTGCTCCGCTTCAGCGACTCCGAGATCGGGGGCGTCACCATCGCTTACGTCATCCGGGGCAAGGACGGTGAGACACGGGGTCAGGTGCTGTGCAGGGTGGCTCCTCACTGCCAGGGGATGGTACAGGAGCCACCACTGGAATCCAGTGATGTGTCTCCCCTCACTCAGGCTCCAGCCAGGTGGAAAACATCCAGCCCTTCTCTGCCAAGGACCTGTCCATCCGCTGCCTCGGCGACCGGATCCGGGACCTGGGGCAGCTCCGTAACCTGTACCCCAACATCCCCAAGGACCAGGCGTTTGGGAGTCACTACAACAGTGAGTGGGGAGGGCTGGGATGGGCCCTGGGCTGGCCCTCTGCACCCCTGCAACGCTGTGGGGGGAGGTCTTGGGTTTGCAGGGGCAACTGGGGCTGGCAAAGGTGGTTGGCAGGGCATGGTGGGGGTGGTGGCTCATGGATGCTTCTCCTCCCTGAGCAGAAGAGCAGACAGGCAAGGACGGCCGGGGCTATGTCTCCACTGCCATCAAGATGACTGTGGAAAGAGAAAGGTGGGTGCGAGGTCTGTGCTGGAGGTGTGTGCACATGAGCCAGGGTTTGCACAGACCCCTGGCTGGCCTGAGCATCCCCTGGGCATGGAAATCCCTGACTGGGAAAAACAGAACTGTGCTGGTGAGCAAAGAGCCCCCGGTGGGCCCCAAGTTGCACTGAGGCACGTGTGCACCTCCCACCCTCCCCCTGAGCACCAGTGGCACATATTCCCCTTCAGAGCCTGGACTGGCAGTGCTGATGGGGACCATGTGCTTTTGCAGGGACCAGCAGCCTCCAAGCACCGTGGGGGCCCCTCCCGAGGCTCCCCAGACACCGATGTTCAGCCTGCCCGTGCTGCAGCACGAGCTGCACCCTGAGAGTCTGCAGCCACTGCTGGCCCCCATCTGGTGAGTGCCCTGCTGTGGGGCGTGGGGTGGGGGCTGTGGCAGAGCATCCCCCTCAATCTGACCCTCTCTGTGTGTGCTCTGCAGCCCCCCCACTCCATTCTGCCCCCAGCCCATCCCCACAGGCTACCCCACTGTTGAGAGCAATATCATGATGGTCCCAAACAGGCTCACCTCCCCATTCCACAGGTAGGAGCAGGGCAGGATGGGGGGGCAGGGTGGACACCCCTCCACCCCCCAGCAGGGTCGGGGGTGTTCCCCCCTCTCTGAGTGCTCCTGCTCCCCACAGCCCATCACCGATGGTCTCGCCTCCCTCGCTGTCCCACTGCCAGGACCCTGCCTTCAGGCCCCCCGGGTAAGACCTGGCACACAGGTGGATGGGGGGGAACACCCTGCCCTGTCCCCCCTTTCCCTCCCCCCAACCCTGGGCTGGCACACCTGGAGTGACCATCCCCAGCTGACCAGTGCTCCCAGTGCCCTGTGCTCCCAGGAGGAGCTCCCACACCAGCCCCCCACAAACCAAGCAGTGCCTTCCCAGTGCCTCGGGGCTGCTGAGTGCCCTGGGGGCAGGGTCTACACCATTCTTTGCCCCCCCAGACCCTTCATGCCCAACCAGTACATGCCCGGGGAGGTCTCGCAGCTGCTGCCCGCGGGTCCCTCTGCGGAGCCGCAGGACGAGGAGATGCCCGAGCTGCCCCCGTTCCAGGCCGTGGAGGATGCCTCGCTGCAGAGCCCCTCGCGGTGGTAAGCACGGGGAGGGGTCAGCAGGGGAAAGCCCCTCCCAGGCCCCCCCTCCCACCCCCGGTCACCCTGCTGCCTCTGTCCCCAGGATGTCACCCGGCATGGAGCAGTCATCAGCCTCGGAGTTGGAGCAGCTCCTGCAGGAGGTGCCCCTGCTGCCCCCCTTCACGCCCCTCCCGCAGCACAGCGGGTACCCCAATTCCAGCCTGTCCTCCTGGGGGCTGGGGGAGCCGCGGTGGGATGACAGCATCCGGCCGGGACACGCGTGAGGGGGCTGCTGGGGGGGAGCATCGGACTGGGACCCCCCCCACTCCCTCCCAGCCTTGCCTGGGTTCATGGACTTGATACGACTCCTGCAGGGATGGAAACTCCAGCTGGGAAAGGCGGGGTTGGGGGGATTTGGGGTAACCCCCGCCCCCCCCACACTCCGTGCTTTGCTGCCCGCCCCCGCCGCTGCCGGGGGTCCGCGGGTGAGGGGGTGCAGGCACAGGGGCCCCGTCCTGCGTGGGGGGCACCGGCAGCCGCAGGCGGTGCCCCCGGCCCACGCCGCCGGGATGAGTCACCGCGGGGGCGGGAGGCGGCAGCGCGAACGGCGCCGGGGCGGAGGTGCCAGCCCGGTGCCCGGCGGGGGGACACCGGGACCCCCATGGAGGGGGACCCGGTCCCCGCGCACCCCCGCAGTCAGCGCTTGCTTTGGGGTTTTGAGCTGTTTCCCACCCCCCACCTCCAGGCTGGAGCAGGGGGCAGGAAGATAAGCCATAAAATAAAGTTTTATTCCAAAATAACAAAATAAATAATCTACTGTACACGGTACAAAGGAAGAGTCGCTAATGCTCTAAAAAGACACCACACAGTCCTAACGGGGGGAGTGGGAACCCCGGGGCTGGGCACGGCTTGTAGGGATGGGGAGGGGGGGGAAGGAGGAGGAACCCC